GCATGCCTGTAGTCCCAGCTACTTGGGAGGCTGAGGCAGGAGGATCGCTTGAGCCCAGGAGTTTGAGGTTGCTGTGAGCTAGGCTGACGCCATGGCACTCTAGACCGGGCAACAGAGTGAGACTCTGCCTCAAAACAAACAAACAAACAAACAAAAACCCAAAATAAAACAAAAAACAAAAAAACACAAATTAGTTAAAAGAAAAGTACTACACATACCAAAACAGCAGTCAGGGTGTGATTTCTGCTGTTTTCTACCTAAGGATTAAGTGGCGGCACTTCATGCAAAGGTGCCTTGCTTAGAACTTTACAGACAGCATCTTATGTCACTGCGCTCACAACTCTATACGCACAGTTGACCCTTGAACAGCACAGATTTGAACTTCAGGAGTCCACTTCTATGAGGATTTTCTTCCTTTTCTGCCACCCCTGAGACAGCAAGACCAGCCCCTCCTCTTCCTCCTCCTCCTCCTCAGCCTACTCAATATGGAGATGATGAGGATGAAGGCCTTTATAATCATCTGCTTCCACTTAATGAATAGTAACTATATTTTCTCTTCCTTAGGATTTCCTTAATAACATTTTTTTCTCTCTAGCTTACTTTATTGTAAGAATATAGTATATAATATATGTAACATACAAAATATTTGTTAATCAACTGTTTGTGTTATTGGTAAGGCTCCCAGTCAACATTAGGCTATAAGGCTATTAGTAGTTAAATTTCAGGGGAGTCAACAATTATACTTGAATTTTTTTTTTTTAGAGATGGAGTCCTGCTCTGTTGCCCAGGCTAGAGTGCAGTGGTATGATCATAGCTCACTGCATCCTTGAACTCCTGGGCTCAAGTGATCCTTCTACCTCAGCCTCCCAAGTAGCTGGGATTGCAGGTTTAAGCCACTATGCCAAGCTAATTTTTATTAAAAATTTTTTTAGAGACAGTGCCTCACTGTGTCACCCAGGCTGGTCTTGAACTCCTGGGCTCAAGCTATCTCCTCCTACCTCAGCCTTCTGAGTAGCTAGGATTATAGGCACAAAGCACCGTGCCTGGTTATACTCCAACTTTTTTTAAATTTTAAGAAATTTTTTTGTAAAGATAAGGTCTTGATATGTTGCCCAGGCTGATCTTGAACTTCTGGCCTCAAGAGATCACCCTGGCCCGCCTTGGCCTCCCAGAGTGCTGTGATTATAGACATGAACCATGCCCCAATTATACTCAAATTTTTGACTGCATGGTGGGTGGTCAGTGCCCTTAACCCCTGCCTTGTTCAAGGGTCAACTATACAGTCGTTTTCCCCCTTCTTGGCTGAGATGATCGACACTGAGGGAGGTTAACAATTCTGCCCAAGGCCGCACAGCTGGGCCGGGTGCACTGGAGTTAGAGCTCAGATCTGCCTCCACTGAAGGTAGATAGAAGGTCCTTGCAATTACCCTGCTACTACTTCTCAAACTCTGGTTCTCGGACCACTGGTATCAGAATCACCTAGAATCACGGCCCCACCCCAGACTTATTAAATCAGAATTTCTGGGGCCAGAACCCAAGAATCCAGATTTTAAATAAGTTCTCTCCTGGGGATTCTACTGCATGGAGAATTTGCCAACCTTTTTATTTGCTGCTCTGCCTTTCTGACTCAGCGCAACAGGGCAGCTGGGTCCTTTCCAGGAAAGACCACTATTCCCGGGCGTAGGCAGTGGTGACATTTCCCCGGTCTGCCCCTGTCTCGATGCATCACGGAATGCCACTTCACTTCCGTAGCCGGGGAAGAACAAATAAGCAAATTTATGAATCATGGTTCTGTTTATATTTTGGTTGCTGAGGCTAAATATTTATTGCTTTAAGTAAGAGGCTCTGCTTTAATTAGAGTCATAACTAACCGCAAGTGCATTGAAATGCATTCTCATGGCCATAAGACATGCATTTCTCAACAGAAAGCCGAAGGCAGCTAACACTTTTCATGTGCCAGTGCCTGATCAAAGCAGCGTGGCTTATCTAAACTAACAAATAGCTCTTGAAACGGACTTCTAGTCACTGCCAGAAGTTTAATTTATGGATTGATCTATTGTGCCTACTGCGACGTATAACATCGCATTTATGTACCGTGGCATAAAGGTGTGAAGGTGTGGGCAATAGGAAGCCCGTAACTATAAAGGACATGAGCTACATTTAGTTTTGAGATGCACTGTGGCCTCTTCCCAGTCCTGCCCCTCCCACTCCTTCCCCGGGAACGGGCGCTCTCCCCATTAAATCACGGGGACAGCCATAGAGCATATAGACATCCAAGCACCACCCCAGGCTAATTAAATCACAATCTCTATGTGAGAGGGACTTCAGCACAGGCATTTAAAAAAAGCTCCCCCAGGGATTCTAATAAGCATTCCAGGATGGGAACCTCTGCCCTGGAAGAGCAGTGGGTGAGGGTGGGTGAGTAGTGGGTGAGGGTGCCGGCTGTGTAGACTGGGATTCAAATCCTGGCTCTACCATTTGCCAGCTATGTGACCTTGGGCAAACGACTTAACCTCTCTGAGCTTTGGTCTCCTCCCCTGAAAAATAGGGATGATAGTGCCCAGCTTGGAAGGTCGTCATAAGAATTCAGTGAAATAATGCAGGGACACATTTAGCATGATGCTTAGGAGCACTTAACTTAGTACTTAGTAAGGGCCCAATAAATAGATATATAAATATTATTGTTACAGAGAATGCTAGTTGGATGTTTTAAAATTTTGTTTACTCCTAGCAATGCCAGTGAGAACTTGGAATTTGGAGCAAGACAGGATCATGTTGTAGTTTGAATATATATATATATATATTTTATTATTGTTTGCCCATACTCCTGACTCTTTTAAGATGAATTCCCTTAGAGTGTGAAGTCTGTAGGCCTGTGATCATTTGCATGGCTGGAACATATAACTGTGTCTTTCTGTTGTGTCTAAAGGCTCTACAAAAACCAGAACTCAAGGTCCAGCATGACTAGCTGACCAGTCTTGGACATAGAGTTTTCCCCCAAAATGGCCATACAAAGGGCTCCTCTCAGCCAGTCTTTTTCTCTCTTTCTCTTAATTCCTGGATCTTTGCAAGTAGATTGCCCATTTCCTTAACCACATGTTTTATAATTGGTGAATTCCCCTAACCTCTCCAGCTTTCAACCCTTTCCTGAAATAAAACAAACACATTGAAATATTTTTCTCTGAAAATGTATTAGGAGAGTCAGTCACCTACAAGAGAGCAGCACAAAAGTTGTTGCAAGCAGGCAGAATCCCTGCTTGGGGTGACAACCTTAGCACATTTATTAATCAGGGGCCAGTTTACCATTCTGGAAACATCCTGGAGGCAGAGACCGCGCTATGTGCCAAGCCTGGTGCCCGTTGCCCTGCTGTGCCGACCAGGGTCCTGCCTTCTGGGTGACCCGTCAGAGCCCATGGCTTGTTTCTCGGAAGTAAAGCCTTGACCTTCCTTAGCATCTGGCTTCAAAGTTAAGCACATCGTTTGAATGTCACACACCACGGACATGCAAATGAACAAGCTCCATATTTTCACCCACCCATAACCCACGCTTGCACGAAAAGCCCCTGGTGGGGGTGGAAGTATCCAAAGCGCCAGCACATGCAATCGTGGGTGCTCTCCCTGCTCTTTGGCCTCCAGCTGAAGCATAAGTCATGCATTCCACAGCCACGTGGAGACGGGTTTTATGCTTGCCCAGTTCTGGAGTCTCTGGTCCGTGTGCACGAATGACTGGAGTGGACCGAACGTATTTATGGGAGTGGTGGCTCTGGACGGAGAATGTATTTGAGAAGTGCTGGCTACATCAAAGAGTGTCTTAGCTGCAGAGACGCCAATTGGTTTTTCCAGCCCACACCCTGAAACATAAACAGTCCATAGACTTGAGTGTTTGGTTTTGTCTTTTACTTCAACACTTGAGGGACTCCAAAGCTGGTTATGAGAAGTCCCAAGAATGCGGAGCATTTTCCGGTGTGGCTGCTGGGCCAGGGACATCAAAGGTTCCTTTGCAGCCGTCTGAGTACAGAGTGACAGAGCCTTCATCTTGCCCCCCACCCTCCGCACCCCTCCCCCCCTCCTTTGTTGCTTTATTGTTCACAAGCCAAAATAGGGAGGTTGCATGACCACCGTATGTTGAGCGAGCGCAGCGTTTGCCTTGGAAGGGCTTTTTACACGCTAACTTTGTGGATCCTTGGCCTCTGGCTCAACCAGGATGAGGTGGGGTGTGCGTGGGAGTGGCGGATGGCCATGGTTAATTCAACGCAACATGTATTCAGGATGTTTCCACAAAACATGACCTCATCCCTTCCAGCCTGCTGGCCATCATTATGCTGGTGGTCACTTTTGACTTCGTGTTACAAAAATAATTCTTTAATTACCAAGTGGAAATTCATAGATTGCACGTAGATGGTTCTTACCTCCCCCAAACAGGCAGGAGGTTGGAGCTGTTTCTGAGGCTGTCTCCACAACATCAGAACAAGTCATTATTCGAGGAAAGCAAAGCAAAATAGGGCATATAAATCCATGCCATGTTGGCGTTGGAGATCAAATAGCTGGGGAGCTTTCTTCCTTTCTCTCTTTGCAAGCAATTGTATATATATATATTTTTTATCCTGAATAGACAGTCACATTACGATCAGTAGGAAGTCTAATTCATTTAGTCAAAGACTGGTTAAGCAGCTTGCATGCACAAGACCGATAAAGTCTCAGGGTGCAAAGACATAAGATAAGCAAGTCAGTAGACAAACAAGATCATTTACACTGGTGAAGGTCTCATGAAGGAAATCAAGTGGCATGATTCAATAGACTGATGAGGCAACTGTTGACACATTAAGTCCAGTAAAATAAAAGTTGTGGGGAAATAGCTGGTTATCAAAACAAGTCATTCCTTTGTTGGGATTATTGGAAACTCTTGGAGAGGAACTGTTCTCCCAGAGACTAGCCCTTAGCTGAACAGAAGTCTTGAGTTATCACTGCGGATGAAGCAGCTGCCTCCCCTCCTCCCACAGGGGGAAGTCCAGCCAAGCAGACCACCTGGGAAGGCGGACACCGTGTCCCGGCACTGGCTTACTGGCCTGGCAGAGTCCCAGTCAACGTCACCAGCACTGCCTTGTTAAGGTACGAGACCCACACTACCTTGAGATTTGGGGGTCTGGAGCAAGAAGTCAAGGAAACTTGTCCACCACCCATCTTTGCCAGGTGCTCCTGATGCTTTCCAAAGTCTGATTGTAGCAGTGTGCATTTGCCTGTAGGCGAGTCCATATCTAGTTAGAGTAATAGTGCCTGCCAGGAATTCAAACCATTCTCTGGGGGTAGTGCCTGAGTGAAGAGGGGCTGGGGTTGGGTTCACACCATCAGCTTTGAGTCCTGGCTGTATCTGGCGAAGAGAAAGAAGAGGCAAAAGAAGGCAGCGGCAGCATCTCCCCTCTCGGCCTCGGCCCAGCTGACAAGGGGAAAGAGATCATTTGAGTCCTAAGTTTTCCATCCCTGGGGTTAAGGCAGGTGTCCTAGGGGTGGCTGTGAGAAGCCAGCACGTTGCTGGCAACCAGGTCACCCCAAGAAAGGAGTCCATATGTCCTCTTGTCCTGGAGAAGAAGGAGAAGGGAGGTGGCCCTACCAGGCCAGTGGGGAAAGAATGAGTCCTTAGGTGAGGACATTCTTGCTACCTCTGGCAAAGTAGCTTCTACAAGGAGGTGAGTGCCTGGGTTCTTCCTTTATTAGAAGGACCACTGTATGTGTGATATCTCATCATTACTCTTACCTCGGTATGAAGGCAGATCCAGGAGGCCATCTCCTTGGCAAAGAACTTGGCTGTAGTGTGTCAATCTGAAAGCAACGCCTTTGCAGCTATGGGACTTTTTCTTCTTCTTCTTCTTCTTCTTCTTCTTCTTCTTTTTTTTTTTAGAAATAGCATCTCACTATGTTGCCCAGGCTGATCTCAAACTCTTGGCCTCGAGTGATCCTCCCACTTCAGCCTCCTGAGCCTGTAATGGGGACTTCTTATGAATTCAGACAGAGTCCTCCTCTCTGGGGTTCTGCCCTGTACTCACTAACAAGGGGAACCCTCCATAGAAGCCAGGGCTTGTTCATGAGCTCAGAGGTTTGGTCTGGTTAAAGGTCAATTTCTTAGTTCAAAAGGTTCTTTACCTTCTGCATAATGGGCTCCAGCATAAAGAACACAGCCTAGTAGAGGGAAGCGAGCTTTATCGCTGGGAGAAGGGGAGAGACTCAAGCGAAGGGGAAAGAAGGGTAAACAGCTCTGACGGCCAAAGTGGGGGATGGGAGGGCATCCTCCCTGGCAGCGTGGGGCCCTCAGGAGCTCTGGGTCAGCCCTGAACAGTCAGGAGGGGGTGCACTGTCAGCGGGTACCAGCAGGTGTGACAACAACAGCACAGCCTGGAATCTCTGATGTCAGGCTGCCTGGGAGAAGGGCCAGGCAGTCTGCTTTTTATAGGGCTGACTTGGTGGAGTCAAAGTGCTTATCGAGAGGGGCCAAGTGTTCACGGGCTGGGCTGCACATGCACAAATAACTCAGCAATCTCTCCAGTTACAGCCCGGAAAAACCGAGCCATCACTTCTCATTGGAGAATGGTGTTTGCACCTACAGTCCATGACTGTGTCGTGATAACATTGCATCATCTGGTGGATCATCTAAGGCCTTAGAGGGGGGGGCAGCTGACAGAGGGGATAGTTTGGTGACCACAGGAAGAGAGTTCTTGGTACAAGATAGCATTTGCCCAGGGGTCTCTGGAATTTTATCAGAACAATATCAATACACCGTATCGGTGCCTCTTAGGACATTCTTTGGTGTTAAGTTAGTCCGATTGTCTCAAGGACTCACCCTCTTGCTGTTTCTGCATGTGAATTCGTGTAAAACAGATTTGAGTGCAGCCTCCTTACTGCCCAGAAAGGGCACCGCGTGTCTGTTACCCTCCCCACAACTGCTCCACTGTGGAAAATAGTGTAACGATCAATATTCAAGAAACTGATTGATGCTCATGTTCTTGGCAGCCCAGCCCAACACCACCGCCCTGACTTCTTATCACCTATTCTAGAACTTTATTCCTCAGTGCAATATAGATCTTCCTCCAGATCAGCGATAACTCCCTTAAGCCATTGAGTGCTAAGGCCAGAATCCCTTAAACCTGTATTCCAGTGGCCCTGAGGAATTATGAGCATCAGATAGTCATCAACTTGATATAAATACTCACATGCATATTGAAAAGTAATAGAGGGTGTGTGTGGGAGGGCGTGGGGCATGCACACTGATCATATCAGTTATGTTTCAGACACAGCCAATGTCCATGTTCAGGTGTGCACGATGGTGATGTAATAAGATTAAAGGAAGGTCTTGCACGTGGACTGTCCACAAAGCCCGATGACACAGTTACGGAGTAAGGAAAATTCATTTACCCAACAAATACTTATTGTTGTGTCCAACTGTGGGTCAAGCTTTGCTCCAGGGACCAGGGGAGGAGTCCCAAGGAGCAAGTCAGACAGAAGCCCCAGTGTTTACAGCTGACTCGCCTTGGGGAGGGCAGCACGTGTGAAAAAGGCTTGAGAGTTTCAACCTAAAGCCCTAACCCAGGGTTTCTCCACCTTGGCATTGTCGACCCCTGGGGCTGGGTCATTCTTTGTTGTGGGGATCTGTCCTGTGCATTGTAGGATGTTTAGTCTTAATACCAGCCCTGGCCTCCACCCACTAGATGCCAGTAGCACCCCTCTCCCCAGTTGCGACAACCAGAATGTCTCTATGCAGCTCCAGATGTCCCCTGGGAGGACGGACTCACGCTGGCCGAGAGCTACAGCGTTAATGTAATTTCTCTTAGCCAAATACGGGAAGGGAAAGGGCCTGCTCTGTGTCTGAACGAAGAGGCTCCCTGTCTCCGCTCAGGAGGACCAATCTTTCAGAGATGATCAGAATGGCAAGTAGGAGATGATCAGAATGGTAAAAAGGACCGGAAACAATGTCATTCAGAAAACAGCTAGAGCCACTGTTGAGCCAGGAGAACAGATAATCCCCTGGACTACCTGGTGGCTTTCCCCAGATATCTGCAAGACAGTCAGGTATGCGGGGGGTGGGGATTCGGCTGGTTCTGGCCTGCCTGGTGGTGCAGAGCTGGGCCTTGGAAGTAGAAGCTACGAGGAGACCGTGTTCACCTTGGTGACTGGGGTTTAGGTGTCACTCCCCCCCCTCCCGGGCAGGGCCTCATCACACTTTCCAAGTCACCTTTCCAAGTCACGCCTCCTCCCTGGGAGGCAGGGGAGTGGTCTGAGTCCCAGCCCCGCTCCTGGCTGCTCTCACTACCCGGGGTGGGGTGGGCACGGTTTGTAGGGGGGGTATCCCCTGATGCTCTGGAAACCCCACTCTCCCTGAAATCAGTGTGGTTGGGGCCATGCTGGCCTCTAGAGAGACCTGCGGGTGGAGGGGGCTGCCCAGGAAGCTGCCCACCAGATGTAGGCAAAGGCTGGCACCTCAAATCCCTGCAGCACGGCTGAGACCAGGAAGGAGTGGCCACCTAGCTTTGATCAGGGATAATGACAAGGAAAAACAATGCAGGAAAAAAACTTAAAACTAAATGCAGAAAGAAACTCAACAACTCAGTGCTAAAAAACGAACTGCTGTCATGTCCTGGGGACAATTCCTGCTCTTCCACCTGAGGGAGAACTGCTCTCCACCCCCTCACTCAGGAGGTCTTGTATGTGGCACAAAAAGATTCTCCCTCTGTCCAGGTCCAAGCGCCCCCACTCCGTCCCTGAGCAATTTTTCCCTCTCGCATTTTCCATCCTCAGACCAGATCTGCCTTTTCCCCCAGATAGAATGTCCTCAGCTTCTAGGAGATGCCCTTCTTCTCCATCCCCTGTCTTGACCCAGGATGCATGGCCCCCCACCCCGAGACCACCCAGTGTGTCTCAACTCCCATTCTCATGCTTCGAAGCCCGAGTTGCTCCCCTGTGGCCCTCCGCTTCCTTCCCGGCCCACATCCCCTGGGCCCAGCTGGCAATGCCCTTCTGCATCCTCGTCCTGCGGCCCAGTCTCCCTTCCCAGGTTCCTTTTGCAGCACCTTGGATGAGGACACAAATCCGCACGCTTCCTATGGCCGAAGCCACAGGAAGAAAAAAGAAAATATCTCCATATGAGCAACACAACTTGTAAAGATGTCACCCTGCCCACTCTGAGGACGGGCTTTTGTGTGACTGTGCAGAGCAATCTTAGCCCTCTCCTTGCAGGAGAGGCGGCTCCTGGCCGCCCCCTCCTAGCCAAAAAGCCGACTGAAGTGGGGTTTCCTCTGTTCAGAAGAGGGGGCCCAGGAGGCGCAGTGCCATGGCCCGTGAGACTTAGGAAAATTTTAACTCTTTTAAAATCCAAAGAGAAGAAGGACTTTTAGGCAGGATAAAATGGCTTAATCTATATTCTTTATATACTCATATTTATCTTGCTGCAGTCATAAAGTATAATTTTTAATATACTTTTTTTTTTTTTTGGAGGAAGAGTCGCACGAAGGCAAGAGTGCCTAGGTCCCGTGAAAGTTGGAACTCGGCTCTGCCAACAGCCAGGCAACGAGATGAACGGGGGAAGCTGAAAGTGCAGGCTTTTGTTTCTGTTTTGTCTCTTTCTGCAAGGTTTTCAGAGACTCCCAGGACCAATGCTTTAGTGGGGTTTGAGGTTTGCAGTGGCTGGGGCACCCTTGGTTGCCTTCCTAGGACAGACGCTTTCTCCAAGTTCACAGGGAGGCTGCAGGCGCAGCTCTGGGATGGCATTGAGCCGTGGGGACCAGGGGACATTCTCCGCTTCCAGGGCAACCTCAGTGGTTTGGCTTTCTCCGCGACTCAAAGGAGGAC